AGGGGCAGTTAAAAGGGAGATCTGGGCAGAACGAAGGGCGTGAGAGTGGGTGTAGGAGGAATCAAGAACAGAGACGAAGGCAGGAGTGGAATTGTGCATGGCCTTGATGGGGAGCATGAGAAGCATAAACTTGATGTAAAAGGCAGTGGACGGATTTGAATAGGGGAGTGCTAGGAGGAGAAGCTGATCTTAGCAACAGCATTTAGAGTAAATCAAAGGGGGAGGTAAGATGAACTCTAGGGAAGACACAGAGAAGGAGGTTGTCGTAATCAAGGCCAGAGGTGAACAAGGCCTAGCGAATGGTATTCGTGGTAGAGCAGAAAGGAAGGATTTTAAAGAGATTGTAGCAGAAAGATTGGCAGGGGTATATTGGAGCCTGGATGTAAATGAGAGGAGAAAATCTAGAAGCCTGGGGGATGAGGACAGTAGACCTGTCACCAGTGGCGTAGACAAGGGGAAGAAGAGAGGGCTATGGAGGAAAGATGTAAACCAGAAACAGCGTGTGAATGAATTACATAGAAAGCCATGGAGAAGATGGAAAAGAGACCGATAATATTACTGCAGCAATAGAAGAGTAGGAGCATTACTTTCCTAGGGAGTTGAGCACTCACTGCTCCTATTGACTTCAATCAGAGTGGTGGATGCTCAGCACCTCTGAAAATCAGGTTCTTTCTTCCAAGGCAGTTTGGGTGGCTCTTGACTTTTCAAATGTTCATCAGTATTACACTAAGGGAGACATTGGCCAAGTCCCAGCGAGCAGTTAGGTGTCTAACTTGCACTGAGAAGTTGGACACCTACCTGCCATTTTAACTTTGAAAATCTCCCTTAAATTGTTGTTTGGAAAAGGATGCTTTCCAAATTGGAAGCCCACATTTTAACCTTTAATCTTGTAGGTTTCGTCTAAGATTGTTTCTGCAAAGTACATGTAATTCTTTATCATTTTCCCCCTAAATAAATGTTTCAGTGCTTAAAAGGAAAAAAATAAAAAAAGTCTGCCAATGGCCTAGAAATCAAACAACCCTACAGCAACAAACTCAGCACTCAATGCAGCTATATGGTAACAATGTATTATACTCAATCCAGCATTCCTGAGCAATCCTACAATAACAAAGACGTGTAAACAATCAAATGCTTACAGGTAATCCTACAATAACAAAGGTGTGTATGCAACCCTATGCTAATGAACTGACCTGCAATAAAATGTGACAGAGAAAATAAAAATACATATGTTTTTTGTAAAATGGTGATTAAAAAAATCCTGAAATCATTATACAAGTTTCTCTTAAGAGTAAATGTTTTCAAAATGAACAGAATGCCAGAATGTACTATTCAGTTTACTTTGTGGAACAAATATTGTAATTTCTTCTTTATTTGAATAATCCTCACTGAGTGGTATAGCCAGATCGTGTTTAATGTACTTGAAAGCGAGTTCGCCAGTGAACAGACTGCAGATGGGTTTCTCCTGAGTATTGATCTTTCCATTGTGTGTAACACAGAAGTAAATTACACGATGTGATTCACAAAGTAATTGCCACACTCAGATCAAAGTGTAATCTGGGTGTGTTTCCCCTCTTGATTTTGCACAGAGCAATTTTACGGAGGTTTCACTGTGTTTAAACCTGCTGTATAATGCTTAATCATCTTTGATTGCTGGTATTCAAAACCATTTTTATGCTAGGTGCAGTTGTTATTGTCTTAGCAGCTAAGACAAGGATAATACATCGCTGAAATGGTAATGCTGATTTAGAGCCCAATAAAACCCCCTAGCTTGTACACTTGTCATGCTTATTCTATCTTAATTTCTCATATCCCTGGGAGATTTTTAAAGAGGGTTATAGCCATTTAAAATAGTTTTTAAGGAGTAATATAAAACACGTCTATTGTTGGAAACAGCTTCTAATGTGCAGTTGAGGTAAACAATTATTCTCTAGCCTTGGAGTTTGTAGAGATTTTCATTTTGCAGTCTGCCTTTCCTAGAGGCCAATTAACAGCTAGTCAAATAGGCCAAGCTCGTTTAGCTCTCTGCTAGACTAGCTTGGGTAACTGCAAAGGTTCATCATTTTGGCTTAGGGGTGTTATAGATTCAGTATTACCGAAGGAGAATAAATGTTAAGCTATTCTCAGCTGATCTAGATTTAGTCACATTAATGTATTTGAACCTGTATGAATATACAAGCATTCAAAATATATACGTAAGGTGGTCACTCACAGATGATGGTATTTACTACTGATTCTGTTTTCTGGAACCTAAAGTTAAAATTTAAAATTGATAAATTAATTTTTTTCCCAAATGAATTAAAAAATTGTTTTAAAATATTACGATGAGAATGATTCAATGCGAGTAGAAGATATAATGATTTTTTTAATAGATATAGTGGAAGAAACTAATACTTTCTAGGGGAGAACGTGCCTCGCATGTGCTTGGTTTTTTTTAGTTTTTTGTGTAAGTCTCTAAAATAATTTCACTTTGAACTGTAGAAACGATCATATTCCAGAGAGAATTTTTCTCACTGTACAGGAATAATTAAAAATGTATTCAGTGGATAGTAAATTATTAATCATAGAAGTTAGAGCTGGAAAACGTCTATTAGATTATTCAGTCCATCCCCCTGCTGGTGCAGGATTTAGTCCCCCGGCAGAAGATACATTAGATAGTAAATTGTAAACTGATCACAGATAACTTTTGGCTTCATAATTATTTTTTTTAAAAGTTCATTTGACCTATGGATATACAATGGGAAAAGGTATGGGCATGTACATCATACAGTTCACATCTATTACAACTAGTAAATATCTAGGAAGGTCATAAATGTGCATAAAGCACATTTAAGAAATTTTTGAACCACTGTCAATCTTAGATTTACTTCTACAGCAAAAGGCACCATAGACCTTTGTACAATATCTATTACTATATATGGTAGCTCTTACTTTTGAAGGTTTAGAAAGCAGAGCCATCTCAGGCAAATAGTGAATTACAGAGGCATGGAGGGATTTGCTGTGGGTTGGAACATTGATAGTGAGGCAATTAGGAACTCAAATTGAATATTAAAGATTGATATACATAATGGGAGCACTGCATGCATTACTGCCTTGTCTTTCACATTGAATTAACATTGGTAACAACTAAATTTGGTGAAGCTCAGAATCTGTCAACAAATGTTGAGCAATGATGTCTTTAATATTCCCAGGCATGTGGCTGAAAACCTTTTGAAGGCTGAGGGGTGGAAGGCGGCTTCCTGTTTGTAAGTCAATTCTTCGCAAATTTTGTTTCCTGCAGTGCTCTCTTGGAAAAATTTGAGTTCCTTTATTAGCATATATTTTAGCATGGCTAATTTCCCTTGTGTTCTGTAATAGTGATAAGTGACATGATCTCTTCTTTCTGATATATAACCAAACCAAAAGGAAAAAGGATTCTCCCATACTATAATGCCCTGAGGTTGAATGTTGTTCTCGCATTTAGGTTTTGGTTTTTTAGAAGTACAATGCTGTATAACACACAACTTAGGGAATGTTTGGAACGATGCAGCAGCAATCAGTTGCATCTCTCTCAGCAACATTTGACAGCATCTGGGTTCAGATTTGCCAGCTACATTTGTGCTGAGTTTATGAGGTCTCAGCTCTGGTGAACACTTTGGATTACTTATACTCTACCTTGCAATGCACTTAGTTTCCTTAATGACATGTTGTTTTATTGTTTAAAGTGTTTCAGTTTCCCCTACAATGGGAGCAGATGCAAGGTTTTTTGACTATCTACTCTGGGCACAATTTTCAAATGTGGACATTTTAGTAGAACATCTGAATCCCACAGGTGGATGCTCAGATCATGCAGGCAGGTGTGTAAATGTTTGTTTTGCACAGCCAAGTGCCAGCATGAGTTTCCAGATGCTGTATTTAGTCGTTCTATTTAGACTCCCATGTTTAAAGAAAATGGACTGCCTGTGATAATGATCCTTTCTGGTGCAATGCAGTTTTCATTAATGGTGGGCAGACATGTGTTAGACCTGTTGGTTAGGTGAGAAGTTAAACTGCATAGAATGTGTTAAGAGCAGGTCACATAATCTTGCTGCAATGTATGCAAGCTAGGTTTTATCCAGCTCACAAAATGCAAATTCAGTGCCTGCAAGGAGTAAGAACTGTTCAGTGTAAGTACCTGTGCATGCAAGGTATATGGCATTCATTTTTTTAAAAAACACAGCAAATATACATATGTATTCAAGCACAGCAAATGTACACACATATTCCCAAATTGGAGGTTCCACAGTGTCTTCCTTGGCACAGAGACCTCCCTTACTTGGAAAACTGTTAGAGGGGAAAAAAAAGCAGTTTCTTTTTCTTTTAAACATGAAATAAATATCACAGATATACAGCACTGAGAAATCAGCGTCTAATACGAAAACGGCAAGGCTGGGAGATAAAGGGAAGGGGATATCCTGGCAGAATTTTTTGGTAGAATCCCATTTTTCTGTTTGATTCAGGGCAAAAGTTGATTGACTACCAAAATATTAAGAGTAGAACAAATGTAGGGGCCTTTTTTTTGTATTTAATGTTTGAATGTGATATACCAACAATCAAAATTTTGTTTTTGTTCCATTGTTTAATCAAATGGTGGTATTGTAAAGACCTGAGTTGACAAGGATCGAGTTTCCTGCTTGGCTCTTTGTAGGTAATAATGCTGTTTTGACAAATCATGGAATAATTTTTAGGAAATCAAAAGAACCCACATTTATTTTAACTTGAATTTTAGTGACTAACATCTGTATGTGACCACCCTATGTTTATACAGTAGATCAATAATACCTTAGGGGGCCATGCATCAGTTTCATGATTTCCCAAGACCACAACACCCTCCTCACTTCCCCCATCAACCCAAGAGGGTACAAATTAGTGAACCAAGAAATGATGCTATCATAGTAGGCAGGCAGGCAATCTCCTCATTTTGTATGCTGAACACATACATCTCACTCGGCTCCCACCCTCTTTCCCCTCCCCCTCCTGCATACCGTTTGTGCTCTTGATAACATGATGAAAATGATGACTGGCCCTTGTGCTGCAAACTTCTCTCCCTTCCACATGGATTGACAGTCTCAATCTTGCTTTCAGGTGCATGCCAAATTCCGTTATCCTTTCTACTATGAAATGTGCTGGTATGTTCTGGAGAGATACGTGTCCTGTGTGACCCAGCGCTGCCACCTCAGCAAAGAATACCAGAAAGAATCAATGTTAATTGGTGAGTGAATCCTTCGAGTGCATATTCAGAATGGACGCTGGCACCTCAGACTAGTCATTGCTTTGACTTTTGCAAAGCAGACTGTAAATTAAATTGGAGAAATCTAGAAATCCTAATGAATTATTTCATTATTTGGGGATGGAGAAGATTTGACGCTCAAGCATTTCACTGAACCGCCACCCTTCCTTGAATGATATTATTGAGCATTTCCATGGCAAATGGATCTCAGAAAAATAATTTCAGATTTGTTTATTTCTTGGTTTCAGTAATGTTTGTGTTGAGGTGATCTGCCAAATGGTTGAGGATTTACTGTTGCATTTGGCATATTACCTTAGCAGCCAAAAAGTCTGCATTGCAAATGTGTTCTGTTGGGTTGGATAGTTAGCACTTCTATAGCACTTTTTGTCTACAAAGTGCATTACAAGCAGCCACTAAATCTAGCTTCTTTTTTCCTTCTTTTTTTACATCTCTGGTTTTATTTTTCCCAAACTGGTGACTAGTTTATTTAAAAAAATCAAACAAACGTACATTATCAATAACTTAGATGCAGGCAGGGCAAAGAAACCTTTAAAACAATAACTGAAAGTGAACAGTGGCAGAGATTTATGGATGGGATCAAAGTGGGAAAGCACCAAGGGTTGATACTGACATGAGCTTGGAGTAAGCTTGAGGTCTAGCAGTACAGCTAGAGTTCTAGCCTTGCCTATCAGCTTCATTTATTTTATTTCCAAAGGACCACTGGGCCATGTCATCTTGCTTTTAGGCACAGAAAGGCTGAATGTAGCACAAGTATCGGCTAGGTCAGGCTGGTGCATCTGGAAGTGGAGAGAGGAACTAAAGTATTTCCATCCCACCCTTATCCCCACTCCTGGCCATCATTGTGAATACCAAATGTTTGGGAGCCCCAGAGGTTTTGGAGAGAATGGCCAGCAGTCAGGATATAAATGGCCACCTAATGCATCCTGACATTTCAGTGAGGGGGCTGCATGGGTGGTAAGCATCACTCTTTAGTGAGCCGTGCTGCCAGGGAGTAGCGTGGAGAAGCTGACTGTCTGCACAGATACTCTGAGATCTGAAGGAGCTCCCTGCAGATCTCAGCATATCTGTATGTATGGAGGGTCCTATTCTGCAGCCCCTCTGTGGGCCATCAAACTTCTCCGCTGAAGGATTAATAAGTCAGGAACTCCCAAAGCATACTGTGTGACGTGCTGACTAACTCCTCGCTTCTGGCTGATTTTGTTCTGGGGGAAGAAGCTCTTTAAAGAACCATTGACAAAACTGTCTGTCCTTGTATCCCCTGGAAAGTAAAGAAGCAGCGCTTTGATGTCAGAATGCTGGCATGAGAGGTGCTGTGCTTCTGACATTGAGGCAGGGGTGGAGAGTCATTAAGTTTTACAGTGAAATCAACACGTTTTAGAATGAATGAGGTGCATGGAGATGGGATGGCTCAGGAGATTGAACATAAGATATGGAACCTTCCCCGTCTAAATCACCAGTGTGAATCCAGGTCAGCCCAGTAGTGACTGTTGGTGATTTGGTCACCCATGCAGAATGTGTCTCAGGTTATGTCTACACTAGATAGCTTACAGCGACATTGGTACAGTTATGCCACTGTAAGATCTCTTGTGTAGCTGACGGGGAAGAGCGCTTCCATTGACATAATTAAACCACCCCCAACAAGCAACGGTAGCTATGTCGCTGGGAGAAGTTCTCCCGCTGACATAGTGCTGTGCACAATACCAGTTATGCCTGCGAAACTTTTGTCGCTCAGGGTGTGTGTGTGTGTGTGTGTTTTTCATACCCCTGAGCTACATAAGTTTTGCTGACATAAGTGGTAGTATAGACATGACCGTAGTCCACTTCCTAGTGGTGAGGCATCCAAGGTGCCAAATAGGCTCATTTTGGCAATCTCAGTAGGCTGAATCAGCAGAATAATGGGCCACGGAGATTAAATTGTCTTCTCAGCTCTATAGATGGTGCTTTTAGGCCAGGATTGAGGCAGTATGGAGAACCTTGGATTGCCACTGCCCATACTGTAGGAATTCTGTGGATGCAAAGAGAACTTTTGGTGTCCCCAGGGCTGTCAGTCCAGCCCTTTGCACCAGCACTAAAATTACTTAGGCTCAAAATTGTATTTTGGATCCAGAATACTGGGATGCCTGCTGCAGGAAGAAAATGTTGTGATGGAAAGAGACTGTTCATTGTGGGGAAGGAGATAGAAATGGGGAGTTCAGGGTGATAGAGTAGGAATCAGTGCATAGGTGGGGATAAAGGGAGCAGCCATCTTTAATTGGGCCCCAGTTTTCCTCCAGACTTACCCCCAATTTTGAGAGACATGCTGCTTCTCTATGGTTTGAACTGGAAAGGGTACTTAGAGCCTTCAAGGGAAAAAGCCTCAGTAAAAATAAGTCCGAAGATCAGTAATAGTTTGAGCAATCAGGATAAGAGGTGAATGATGCAAGTCAGAAGTGCTTTGAAGGACTGCTGCCTATAGAAATACTTGGATTTAAAGAGCAAAATTCTATATCTCTCTGAGAAGAATGCTGGTCCTCTCCACTGTGTGACTATCACATTGTCTAGGATCAACAGACACCCTTTCATCCACCCTGGGGCTCTGCCAGGACAGCACAAGCCTGGCAGGAAGAAGAGGCCTGTGTCAAGAGGGGGACAGTTTGGAAGCCTGAGTTGCAGTGAGCACTGGCATGGGGCATGCCTTCTCTCTCTGGGTGCTGTGGGAAGCAACTTGCACTCCTGCACTGTGCAAACCCCACAGTGAGACACATTGTCTCCTTACTTGGCTATTGGGCCTGGGGAATGAAAATGGGGTTGATTGTAAGGAAGGCTCCTTTTTCCTATGGCTTCAAAGGTTTCTCAAATATTCTTTAAATAAGTTTCCAAATCCTGTTTAAATCTAACTCTCCCTGATTTTCAGTAACCTGTTGGAAGCTTAAATTTGTTTCATTATCTCCATCATGCATACATGGATTTGTTATGGAAGGACTTTTTGCTGGAGCTGCCCACTGGCTTGTTATGGCAATGTTGTTAATATGCACGTGTGTGTGTACGTACGTGTGCAGTGCACACATCGTCAGGTTGTTCATGAGTTTGTTATTGTAGGGTTCCTCTTGAATTTTGTACTCCAGATATTTGTTGCAGAGTTGTGAAGGTTTCTTTATTATTATAGGAATGCTTCTCAGAGCAGGACTGAAGGTACTGATTCTCTTCCTCCTTGTTTGAGTTCTCTCTCTACTTTCCTGCTCTTCATTTGTAGATTGGTAGTAGCAGCTAATTAAGAGCTAATCCCCCAGTTTGATTAGACCCTTCTGGAGTCTCACATTTCTCTTGCCCTACCATCTTACTGGAACCTGAACCAAAACTCCAGATCCTAATGTAGTAATACCTGCTACAATTCTTCAGCAGGGATAGAACCTGGGACCTTCAGCTGTAAAATCACAAACCACTGCTATGTGAGCTAACATTGCCCCAGGCAATGGAGGGAGGCATAATTACAGGCACTTTGACAGTATATTATGTTAATACCACCAGACTTCAAACATGTTAGGATCTTAATCTGACCTTGCTCTCTTGAACAGACGTGTACTTTTTACTCACTTAAACAGTCTCTGTCTACAGCATATTTTATCACCTGGCTGCCACCTTCAAATTCAGTTCACTAGCATACTAAACAGTGTCAGTCTCAGTGCTGATTTCTGTCATTGACTCCTAGGATCTTCTGTCTAGTCTAAGAAAAAGACATTTATTTATGCATCTTTGTCATAATCTGTTTTTTATTCCCTGTCAGACTGTACCTTTTAACTGATTATATAAGTGTGAAGGGCCTTACTAACGGCTGTTCAAAAGGCCAAGTTTATTATATCATCTGGATTCCCACTTTTGGTATTTTGGTGGTTTTTTCAAAGAATTCTAACAGAAGAGAGAGAGGTATGATTTCTCTTGGTAGGAGCTGTGATTCTGTGTCCCTATCACATTGTACTACTTAGGATATTTCTCTGTCCTGCTCTTAATTATACTCTGTCTGTGCTCCCTGTACCGAGGTGAAGTTGCCTAGTCTGTAATTTTTGAATCACCTGTAGTTTTTTGTTTGTTTGTTTTTGTCCTGCCAGTTGGAATCAAAAAGGGCACTCTATATGAACTTCCTACCAGATTTGACATGTGCTGCTCCAAGATGGAAATGCCTACAGGATTCTTATTCTTAGAATTGTTGAGTCTATGTTGGATGTTTTCAACAGCAGTTGACCTACGTGTGTCCTTCAGTCAGATGTGAATCTTGAGACTAAACTGATAAAGAGTAATTGGGAGAAGATGTGGTGCTAGTCATAAAATACTCTATCTGTATCCTGTAGCTTTTAAGATTCCCACTGTAAGATGTTTCACAGGATGGTTTGCACTGTACATACAGCCTGATGGGTAATAGAAATGTGCCATATGGAATGATGGAGAAGCCATTCCTTTTTTCCTTCACACACAGTATAGTGGATTTCCCACTGAAAGAGAGTTTATGGATTATGTTAGGTGATTTTTATTTGGGAAAATACTATGATTAGATTCCTCGATGCCATCATTTCCTTTTTTAGGCTGCTATAAAGAACTCACTCGCTACCTCTCTGACACAAAGTACCAGACTTTGGAGCTGAGAATGGCAATTCCCAGTGTAGCAGAAGAGTATATATTGAACACACTGTACTGCTGAAGGGAAAGTTAGCAACTTAATCCTCTATTGAAGAAGGTAACTATGTATAATCATCCCTGTTTTGCAGACGGGCAAACTGAGGGAGAGTGATTGTGATTTGCCCAAGGCCATACAGAGAGTTATTGCTTTAGAAATTGGGAG